GCACAGTGCCTGCCTGGCAAGCGTGAGGTTCTGAGTTTGATCCCTGGTACAAAAAAAAAAAAAAAGTAAATGTAAAAAAATGAAAAGGGTATTTTATTTTATTTATTTAATATATTTTATCCCATTCCCCCACTCAGGCCCCCTCCCTTCCCTATGTACAAAAGCTAAAAGGGTTTTTAAACATGGTTATTTTTCTTCTTTTCTCACTCCTCCAGGCCCGAAATGCAGAGAAGGCTATGTAAGTATCATCTCATTTTTGGCTGAATGTTTTTTGTTACTTCATCACCACAGGGGTCTGTGGTCCTTTTAGTACAGGACCCATTCAAGAAGCCATTTCCTTCTCTACTTGTGTAAAATAGCACCCCCATATCTGTCCATTTCTTTTCCCCATTAGTGTTTTCTGACAGCTTCCAGAGCTTATACTGAATGAACTTTTGTTCAGCTGTGAATGGTGTGGGAAGGACAGCTGGGGCATTCTATGAAATTAATCTTTTACCACCTGAATGTATTATTCATCACAGTGGCCTGAGGAATTGAGTTTCCTGAAGTCCTTATGTGCAGTATAATAAACTAGATACTTGGGTGTTCAGGGACACAAATGGCTGGGTGAGGGAGGCTGAGGCAGGGATGACTGAGTGAGACCCTGTCCCCCTCTGCCTCCTCCAAATTAAAATGGTATGGGGATGTAGGTCAGTGTGAAGTCCCTGCTTTCAGTCCCCAGTATCACAAAAGAAAGAGGAGGGCCGGGGATGTAGCTCAGTGGCACAGCGCCTGCCTGGCAAGCACAAGGCCCTGAGTTCATTTCCCAGTACCAAAAAAAGAAAGAAGAGGGAGAGAGGGAGGTAGAAGAAGAGAAATTTTGGCAGGTGATTGTAGCACATGCCGGTAATTCCAGCTACTCTGGAGGCTGAGGCAGGTTGAGGAGTTCAGGGCCAGCCTGGGCAATTTAGACTGTGTCATAAATCCAAAAATTAAAAAAGGGTGTCGGGAAGTAATTCAGTTATGGAGCACCTGACTAGCATCCATCAGGCATTGTGTTCAATCCCTAGTACCATTCAAACTGGCCAACCAACCCACAAATGGCTTTGTAGGCCTTGTTGCCTGATACATGGAACTCCTGAGCTGCTCTGTAGTTTCAGTTTCTTGCTTGGTGTTCATGTGAATGACATTAAATGTGGTCATGAGCAGGTCTGCCCCTTCCAGGAACTTGGGCCATCAGAATTCAGAGTGGACTCTTTAACAGTGCCTTTCTTTTTTTCTGGTGCCGGGGATTGAACTCAGGACCTTGTCCTTGCAAGGCAGGCACGGTGCCACTGAGCTAAATCCCCAGCCCTCTAACGGTGTCTTTTGTGTCCCTTGCAGGACAGCTTTGGCAAGATTTCGCCAAGCTCAGCTGGAAGAGGGAAAAGTGAAGGTGGGTGTCAATCTTTCTCATGGGCTGTGGTGCGTCCATAACAAGTGCAGCGGAACTCCCTCCTGGACAGACTTGGAGGCCCACAGCCGAGGTTGAATTTCAGATGTTCCTCTGGGTAGCTGGGGCTCACCTGGCTGCCCATTTTTCCATTTTTTCTCTAAAATGATGACCCTTAGCAGGTCAGCTCTGTCTAATATGGAATAACAGGAAGTAAAGCGTGACGTGGGAACAGCTATACGCTGATGCCAATGCAGAATCTCAACTCAAGGGGACCTAGCCAGATTAGGGATGATAGATACTAGGCTCTGTGTAGTTTTCTTTGTTTTTTTGCTTTAAAAAAAAAATTTATACACACGTGTATATACATTTACACATAGGTGTATACATACATATTTATGTATGTTTGGCTTAAATACTGACATCTATCCTTTCTCAAGGTAGTATAAACATGCTATGATTGCTCCATTACGGGGCATTTATACTGTTTCCAGCCTTTCATGGTTCTAGGCCAGCATTCGTTGTATGTTTTTGTCTGTAGTTGTTTCCTAGGGAGAGAGTGGAGTAAAGTTTAGGGGCCGAGGAGGAGAGCCTGTTACTGAAACTTCCAGTGTACTGAGCCTATAGAGCTATTGGCCTCAGGCCTGGATCTGCCGTGCCTGTTGTATGAGCTGTAGCTAGTCCAGTGGGTACATGTGCCCTTTTCTTCCCCTTAGGAAAGAAGACCCTTCCTGGCCTCAGAGTGTACCGAGCTACCCAAAGCCGAGAAGTGGAGACGACAGGTGACTTCTGGGTGAATCTAATTTCCGTAGAAGTAACAAGTCTCTGGTTGTTTGTTTTTTATCTAAATGACCCTTAAACAGAATTCTAAGTAGTTTTTTTTTTTTTTTTTTGCTACTGGGGATCGAACTTGATCTAAGTAGTTTTATTAATTTTTAATTAGAGTTTGCCTGTGCTTTCAGATATTTCAAAAGTCACGAGCATATACTGTCCTTTATTTCACAGATCATTGGAGAGATTTCAAAAAAAGTGGCTCAGATTCAGAATGGTAAGCTTTTGTTTTGTTTGCTTGTTTTGTTTTGTGTTTTTGAGTCAGGGTCTCAGAGACTATGTAACTCAGGTTGACTTTCAACTAACTGTGTAACCCAGGCTGGCCTCAAACTCATGGCAATCCTCTTGCCTCAGCCTCCCCAGTGCTGGGATTACAGGCATGTAGCACTATGTCCAGCAAACAAATTTAATTAAAATCATACAAATTGTGTTCTTTGATTTTTAAGAAAGGTACCTGAAAAATTTTTCAGATAGGTGCCTGAAAAATAAAAAGATTAAAAATTGCAGATGTTGCCAGGTATAGTGCCTCACCCCTATAGTTCCAGCTCTCTGGAGGCTGAGGTAGGAGGATTGACAGAAGTTCGAGGCCAACCTGGGCTACATATGTGTTCAAGACCAGCCTGAACTACACAGCGAGACCCTGTCTCAAAAAAAAGAAAGAAAAGAATTCCAGATGTTGAGCTTTATGTATATGGTCAGTTGACTTTTGACAAAAGTACAAAAATAATTCAGTGGAGAAAGGGATAGTAATAAACTTTATCTTTTGTTTGTTTTGAATCAATTCAAGACATCAATGTAGGCCATGACAGGGCCTCATTATGTAGCCCAGTCTGACCTTGAACTCATGGTGATCCTCCTGCCTCAGCCTACCAAGCACTGGGTTTATAGGCATGCGCCACCACACCTGGGTAATAATGAACTTTAAAACTCAACAATAAGAAAATTTGAAAATTTTTAATGTTTTTAAATTTTTCTTATCCCTTCCTTCCTTTCTCCCTCCCTCCTCCCTTGTTCCCCGTCCCATTTGAACATTTTCTTCCCATTTCCCCATGTCTGTTATACATTTTAGTCCTTATTTCCACACCAGAGAAATAATGCGATATTTAAACATGTGTGCCTGATTTATTTCACTTAAGAGTATGGTCTCAAGGTCCATCCATTTAGTTATATAGGTCTCAAGCTCATCCTTCTTTGTGGCACAGTAGTACTGCATTCAACATTAAGAAAATTAATTTGTTTTTTAAAAAAAGGTGGGCTGGGAATTTACCTCAGTGGCACCTCACCTGCCTTGCAAGTGTGAGGTCCTTGAGTTCATTCCCCCCAAAAAAAGTACCAAAAAAAAAAAAAAAAGAGCCAGGCTTAGTGGCACATGCCTATAATCCCTATAACCCTTGGGAGGCTGAGGTAGGAGGATTGCTATGAGTTCGAGACCAGCTTGGGCTACATAGTGACTTAGCATCTCCAGGGGGTTTGCGGGCTCAAGTCTCAAAATGGAGGTGTAGGCCTGTTTCCTTCTTTTTTTGTTTTGTTTTGTTTTTTTGGTACCAGGGATCGAATTTGGGACCTTGTGCTTTTGAGGCAGGTGGTGGCTCCACTGAGCTAAATCCCCGGCCCAAGAGACTGGCTCATGTAATGTTGCCCAGGCTGGCTTGGAACTCATAGACTCAAGCAATCCTTCTGCTTCAGCCTCCTGAAGATCTGGGACAACAGGTGCATGCCACTGTGCTTGACTGATTTTCTTTTGTTTTTGTTTGAGATGGTCTGGCTATGTAGTTCAGGCTGGCCTTGAACTCACTATAGAGCCTAGGCTGGCCTTGAACTTGTGGTGGACCTCATGGCTCAGCCTCCTGAGTGCTAGAGTTACAGGTGTGCACCACCACACCTGGCTTGTATTTTTTGTAATTCCATAAATAGAACTGCAGGATTGTTTTTGTTTCTACTTCCTCAGTTGCTAGTGAGGATGTAGTTTTTTTTTTTTTGTAGGATGTAGTTCTTTTAAAAGATGTTTTTCTCCTACGCTAGTGGGAATGGTGTGTATAATCCTTGCTTTTTAATTTATTTGGATATTGGTAGTCTTCATATCCATTTAAATGAGTATTTCATGCAGTATCCCTGGGGTGGGGACATTCATGTTGGAGGGATGATGTTGAATGTAAGTGTTGACATTTATTTTTAAGGTGTGCTGATTTGAAGAAATGATAGTAACTTCTTGTTTTTCTAGCTGGTTTAGGTGAATTCCGAATTCGGGACCTGAACGACGAGATTAACAAGCTGCTAAGGGAGAAGGGACACTGGGAAGTCCGGATAAAGGAGCTGGGTGGCCCCGACTATGGGGTAAGTGTCTGCATCCCAGCAGGGTGGGGGACCGAGCTGGGGAGTCCCAGCCCAGGCCTGCCTCAGGGGGTCTCTTGGCAACCAGGGGCTGCTGCCTGGGAGGAGGCTGGGGAAGCGCTGGACTCCCATCTCCCTTGGCCGCAGCCCCCTCTGTGCCCCTTGGGAAGTGGGGCTTCCACTTGGTGGTGTCTTTCTCTGAGGGGCCTTGAAATGCTCCATTTTGTCCTTGCTGGGGGCTCTTGCCATTCTGGGTTTTGCCTTTTCACAGTGGTAACTTTGATGATATAAACAGTACATACTTTACTGCCTGAAAGAGAAAAAATATATAAAGAATGGAAAAATACGAAAATATTTAAAAATATACATATTCTATGTATATGTATTATATATACCACCTAAAAATAATTGCTATTAATAATTTTTTTTTGGTACTAGGAATCGAACACAGGACCTTGTGCTTATGAGGCAAGCACAGTGCTACTGAGCTAAATCCCCAGCCCCAATGTTTTCTTTTGGTTTTTTTTTGAGACAGGGTCTCACTATGTAGCTCAGACTGTCCGTGAACTCACTGTATAGCCCAGGCTGACCTCAAACTCCCAGCAGTCCTCCTGCCTCAGCCTCCCGAGTATTGGGATTACAGGTTTGCACCACTACACCCAGCCTAACATTTTCTATTTATTTTTCTAAAGTTTTTTCAGTCATTTTCATACATTTTCATTCATCATTTTTATAGAGATTGGTTTATATTCTAAATACATACTTTCTTAACAGTATACCAGGAACAGAGCCGGGGATTTAGCTCAGTGGTTCTACCGCCTGCCTCGAAAACGCAAGGTCCTGAGTTTGATCCCCGGTACCAAAATAAATAAATAAATAAATATACCAGGAACACAGTTTCATACTAATAAGTAATCATTTATTCCATTTTAAAAAATGTTTTGAGTGTGAGGTGCTGTCCTGTAATCTCAGTACTCAGAAAGCTGAGGCAGGAGGATTGCAGGTTTGAGCCCAGCTTGGGCAATTTAGCAGACCCTGTCTGAAAATAAAATCTTAACATAATTTTTTTTTTGGTACCAGGGATCGAACTTGGGTCCTTGCACTTGCGAGGCAGGCAGCAGAACCACTGAGCTAAATCTCCAGCCCTTAACATAATTTTTTGTTATTTATCCAAATTATATGAGGTTCCAAACTACAAGGCTTACCTGAGTTCACGAACTTAATTCTTTCCATGATTCTGGTCATGAACCGAATCACATTTCCCCATAAGGTCAACATTAAACCTAAAATTGAATTTGATTTGGTTTGTGTCCAACTTGGTTTGTGACCAGAATGGTGGAAAAAATTAGTTTGTGAATGGAGGAACTATACATAAAAATAATAATAAAAATTAACATAAGAAATAAAAAACTTAAAGAAGACTGGCAATGTAGCTCATCATGAAGGTCCTGGGTTCAATTCTCAGTACCACAAAAAACAAAACAGAGCAAAAAACTAACAAACAAGAAGGCTTTGGGTTTGGGTCAGGTAGAGTGCTTACTTGCATGTGTAGCCCCTGGCTTTGCTCGCCTGTACCTGAGGAAGAAGGAAGGAAACTTAACTTGGGTGTGGTAGCTTCACCTGGTACTCCCAGAAGTGGCCCTGCCAGCCCCTACTCAGGACTTGGGCCTAGTCAGCATGGGCAGTTGCCAGCGTCATTGTTTTTAATAAATATGATTTCATCTTCTGGGTGGGTTCATTTGTCTGTTACTGATTGTCATTAAGGTAATTTGAAATTTTTAAAAAAGTTTTTGTCATTTCTAAGTCAGTGTAAGAATTTATTTTTTATTTTTTATTTATTTTTTTGTTTTTGTTTTTGTTTTTTTGGTACGGGGGATCGAACTTGGGACCTTGTGATTGCGAGGCAAGTGCCGGAACCACTGAGCTAAATCCCCGGCCCCAGTGTAAGAATTTATAAAGATCGTGACTTTTAGGGTGTGGAATTAGAATGCATCAGTAAATATGCTATAATTTACTTAGGTCCTATTTTTAGACAGGTTAATTTTTTTTGTTAGGTTAATTTTTAAGGGGTAAGGGAAGTACATATTTTTCTGTATATAAATATTTTCCATGTTTAACATTATTATTTTTAAATGTATTTGCAGAGGTGAAAATAGTAAGTTTATGGATCAGATTCATTTTGTCTTTTTCCCTCCCAATAAGAAAGTTGGCCCTAGAATGCTGGATCATGAAGGGAAAGAAGTCCCAGGAAACAGAGGTTACAAGTACTTCGGAGCAGCAAAGGATTTGCCTGGTGTTAGGGAGCTGTTTGAAAAAGAACGTAAGTAATAGGCTTTTGCAGGTTTTAGCCTCTAACTGTTACCAGTAGATATGCTATATTCCTGTATTATTTCTTTTCTTCTCTTTTTTTGAGACAACATCTCACTATGTAGTCCAGGCTGGCCTTGAACTCACTATGTAGTTCAGGCAGCCTTGAACTCATGGTGATCCTCCTGCCTCAGCCTCCTGAGTCCTGGGATTACAAGCATGTGCACCATACCCAGCTCTTCCTGTATTATTTCTTTTTTTTCTTTTTGGTACCGGGGATCAAACTCAGGACCTTGTGCTTTTGCAGCAGGCACGGTGCCACTTAGCTAAATCCCCGGCCCTCCTGTGTTATTTCTTAACTGTACCACAGCCTGTAGTGTAGGAAGTATTGTTCTCAGGTTTTCAGTGAGAATGCTGAGGTTAACGTCATGGGCCCAAGGCACACAGTTGGGGCTGGAAGTGTGGCCAAAGTTGGCTGGCATCAAAGGCCACCCTCTCTACCTAGGCCAGTCTGTCAGGCTAGAAAAGGGCTTTCCCTGTTGGATGTTTCCCGAAACTATCAAGGCAGGCTCTGAAATTCACCAAGTCAGGCATAGGTTTCAGTTATTTATTAGCTGAAGAGAATTATAACTGAAGAGCAACAATAACAATAAAATCTTGGAACAAACCCCAATTTGTAAAAATAGAAAAGAGCCAGATGGTGGTGGTACATGCCTGTAATCCCATTACTAGGAGGCAGAGGCAGGAGGACCACTGTGAGTTCAAGGCCAGCAGGGTGTTGGCCATGGTAGAGAAGTGCTTTACCACTGAACTACATCCCTAGCCCAAGAATGGATTCTGTTTAAATGCACTAACGTGTCCAAAGCACTGATTTAAAAAGGGCTGCATCACTTCTATGGCCCTATGTGTAGTATTGGGTGGTATTTTCATGAATATGAGATAGGATAAAGAAAAGTGTTTATTTTATTTTTTTTTTTGGTACCAGGGATCAAACTCAGGACCTTGTGCTTGCTAGGCATGCACAGTGCCACTGAGCTAAACCCTGACCCATGTTTTTACAAGCTGCTTTTCTGTTGGATGGGGCTTGCCAACAGTATTCACCATAATTTTGATCCCACCTCATAAAGACACTCAGGAAAGAGGATTCCAAAGCTGCTGCAGAAAATGACAAGAGCAATTGGAAAAGTGTGTTTGAAATGAAGGGGGAGGATTTGGTTTTTTTAAATTTTGAGACAGGGTCTTGCTACGTATGCCCAGCTGCCCTTGAACTTGCAGCCATCCTCCTACCTCGGCCTCCCGAGTGCTAGGATTACAGGTGTGCACCACTTTGCCTGGCAGGAACATGTCTTTTTCTTTTTTTTTCCGGTACCAGGGATCAAACTCGGGACCTTGCACTTTCGAGGCAGGTGGTGGAACCACTGAGCTAAACCCCCGGCCCTCTGTGATATATATATACATATATATATTTTTTTTTTTGGTGCCAGGGATCGAACTCAGGTCCTTGCGCTTGCGCAGGCGGCGAAACCACTGAGCTAAATCCTGGGCCCTCTGATATATTTTTAAAAACGTGAACATAGACTACATACTTTGATCACTCTTGTGTGTGCTCTCTGACTGCACAGCGCTGTTTGGGGAAGGCTGGGCTTCAGTGTCACTGACCCAGGAATGAGCTAAATTGCCGCCGTTTCCTGTAGCTCTTCCTCCTCCCAGAAAGACTCGTGCCGAGCTCATGAAGGCGATTGACTTTGAGTACTACGGCTACCTGGATGAAGATGATGGTGTCATTGTGCCTTTGGAGCAAGAATACGAGAAGAAACGTAGGTCTCTGGGCATCTCCTCAGGGACAGCCTCTGGTTTCTCTACTTTGGAAACAGGAATAGTGTGTTTGGCAGAAGGGCGTTTTCCTCCCTGCTGACTCAGGTCTTCAGAAGTCTTGAAGCACTGGGGCCGTGATCCGGTCCCAGGGCCATGATCCGGTCCCAGGCGGCAGGTGAGGGCTGCGTCTGATCCCTCCCTGCCCTACACGCAGCCGGGGGGCTTACAGCTGCAGGGTGCGGCTCTTCCCTGCCAGGCCCTGTCCAGGTAGTGTGCTTGTGCTAATCCTCATGGCACACGGTGAGCTAGGGCTTTGGAAGCAAGCCCTGGGGAATGGAGCTCCTTCCCTGTCTGCTGTGGCCTTCATTTTCTTTTCTTTTTGCGGGGGGAGGTGGCTTTAAAACAAGGTCTTTCTGTGTAGCCCAGGCTGGCTTTGAACTTACGGTCCTCTTGCCTGAGCCTCCCAAGTGCTGAGGCACGTGATTGTCCTTGTCCCTCATTGTCATGTGGGTGTGTCTGGAAGCTACTCAGGTTGCTGGCCTTGGAAGGGGACAGTCCCCAAAAAGCTGCCATGTAGTGACTTAAAACCAGAGGTGTTATGGAACCAGCCCGCCCTCCCAGCCATGCCCCTGCTCAGGGCAGAGAGAGGGGGTCCCTTTCCCGAGTGCTGTCTTGGCCTTTCCTTCAGAGATGTCATGGTAGCTCCTGTCTCCCTATCTGTAGTCAGAGCTGAACTGGTGGAAAAATGGAAAGCAGAGAGGGATGCCCGGCTGGCAAGAGGAGAAAAGGAAGAGGAGGAGGAGGAAGAGGAAATCAACATCTACGCTGTCACCGAGGAGGAGGTACCAGTATAGGTCCCAGCTTGTGCCCTCTGCTCTGAGCCACAAGCCGTGAGGCAGAGGGAGGGACTCAGTGTAGAAATCAGCAGTCGGGCTTACAGCCCAGCTTCCTCCCTGCAGGATGGCTGTGAAGATTGTTTTTTCTGAGACAAGGTCTTGCTATGTGGTCCAAGTTGGCCTTGAGCTTACTATGGAGCCCAGGCTGGCCTTGAGCTCTCAGAAATCCTTCTGCCTCAGCTTCCTGAGTGCTGGGATTGCAGATGTGGACCACTCTGCTTGACCTTTCCTGCTGTCTTAACAGTTAGCCCTCCAGAATGAACTGGCGTGGGATTTAGAAGCCAGGAGAAGTTGTACAGGTTCCAGCCCCAGCCTTACTGTCTATTCACATGGCACCACCAGTAGCTCTTCTGTGCCCGACACCCGATTCCCGATGGAGTCAGAAGGGACCTGTAGAAGCTCATAGCTTGGAGGAACTGGGCTCCAGGGTTCTGGGCAGGCGCAGCATGTGGAGGCCTTGAGTGAAGACAGTGCCAGGCGGGTCTGCTTCACTGTTCTGAGAGAGTGGCGCACAGACACATGTGGCTCAGGCCGTGTTTGAGGAGGAGAGGCTTCACCATCACCTGTGAGGAAGCAGCTCTGAAAAGTGTAGGGGCTCAGTGAAGGTCACACACGACGCAACAGGCCAGAGGCTCCAGCTCGGGTCCCACTGACCATGGCGGGGCTCAGGCAAGGCTGGTGGAGCAGAATGGGGGTGTGGCCAAGGAGGTTTTCCCAAATGCTCTGCAGCAAGTGTTTGATGAGTGACTTGTGTGAGCCAGGCTCGCTCTAGGTGCAGGGGCAGAGCTGCCATCCAGGCTCAGGTATGGCTTCCAGTCCCGGCAGATGCAACCTGAGATTGGAAACCCAGGGGAGTAAAGCAAGGGGAGTGTGTGCCCTGTGCTGAGGGACACTGAGGAGAGCAGGGGATGCACAGACAGAGGGATGGGTGCTGGGAAGCATGATCGGCCGTATAGGGCTGGTGCCCTAGGAACAAGGTTGTACCCCTGGTGAGAGCCATGGAAAGCATGTCCTTTTCCTTTTTCTTCAGAAACAACTGCAGGTGTCTAGGTCATTGCAGAGATAGTTCCCAGAGCTCCTATGGGCCCTTCCCCGTGTCCCTAGTAGTTACATCCTATGTGACCTCAGTGCAGCACCAAAATCAGGGTGCTGGGCCTGGCGCGATGATCATCGAGTCCTGTGTCTTTTTTTTTTTTTTTGGTACTGGAAATTGAACTTGGGACCTTGTGCTTGCAAGGCCAGTGGTGGAACCACTGAGCTAAATCCCTGCCTAGTCCTGTGTCTTTTATCTGCTGGGACTGTGTCCCCTCTCTGCAGCCTGGACACAGACTGTGTCCTGGCACAGAGACTCATGTTGCTCCTTTCCCATCGTAGCTCCTCACCTCCCCGTCTCTCATCCCCCGCAAAACCCTGTTCTGCTCACTGTCTCTGTAATTGTCATTTCAGGACAAAACTAGAAATTAGAGCTGTTGTAGGACCAGAGTGTTTTATAAGTGGAGTCCTCCTGGGGGTCACTTGTTGATGGCCTTTACACACAGGAGAGTGCCCTGGAGACCTTTCTGGGGTGTGGAGTTCAGATTTCCTCCTGTTTACTACCGAGTAGTCTGCCATCTGCAGAAAAGCATGCAGGTCCCGAGTGCGGGGGGTCACATGGCAATGCCAGGGCAAGAATGGAAGTGCAGCCCTGCCTGAGGCTTAATTTCTCAGCCTCTGGTGACCACCTTCACCGTTGCTGACCATTTGATACCCAGGAAATCATGGGTACTCTTGTGTCTGATGTTCATGGGTTGTATTTAGAGTCCAGTTTGTGGCTCTAACAGATAAGGTTGCTGTGAAGTTTGTGTTTGCACGCTTTTGTTGAGTGTCTAGGAGGAGTGAAATTACTAGGTCCTAGGGTAGGGTTTAGTGGTCGTAGATACAATTGTTTTCCCAAAGTGCTAAGCCAGTAGTGGAGGTGCATGCTTATAATCCTGGTACTCAGGAGGCTGAGTCAAAAGGATCTCAAGTTCAAGCCCAACCTGGGGGTGCTTAGTGAGACCCAATCCCCTCCAAAAAAGAGCAGGGGGAAACCTAAGTGCTCATTCTGATGGCACTCCTACCAGTGCCTTAGGAGAGGGTCAGGGTCCCTGTGGCAGCCAGAATGGGGCAGAACCATGCAGGCACCTGGCACAGAGCCCCGCCAGCAGCAGACTCCCAGTGTGGCACAACTATCCTATCCCTTATTTCCAAGTCCACGTTATTTTCTTAGTTATTAGTCATCCACTTTTATGTAGCCTCTGTGTTGATCTTATTTCTCTCTGTGGGATATCTTTTCAAACTTTTTTTTTTTTGGTACTGGGGATCGAACTCGGGCCCTTGCGCTTGCACGGCAGGCAGTGGAACCACTGAGCTAAATCCCCGGCCCTCTTTCAAATTTAAATTTTAAAAAATAGGTAATGAAATCACAAGTTTTCAAAATAAACTGTATAGAGATTCTCCATCTTCTCCCTGTTCTCTGCTGTTTCTGTCGCCTTTCCTGTTTAATAATGTGTCATGGGCATCTCCCCGTAGAAGTGCAGAAGAGCGTTCCCTTGTTTTTCTCCTGACAGCTGTAAGGTGGCATCTTAAGGAGGTGACATTACTGGTGTCGTGGGCACCCTGCAATGGCCGTGCTCCTTCTCTTTGCAGTCTGATGAGGAAGGCAGCCAGGAGAAAGGAGGAGAGGACGGGCAGCAGAAGTTCATTGCTCATGTTCCGGTGCCGTCGCAACAGGAGGTAGGGTGGAGGCTGCCAGCTGCCCAGGGACAGGGGCCGCTCCTCTGGAACAGGTCTCACAGGGTGCTCTGTGCTCGGTGTGCTCTTGAAAGGGTGGGGCCCCGAAAGGTCAGACGTTCCTGATGGAAGGGAGTTGGGGCTTTTGGAGGCCACCCTGGTGTGTGAGTTGCACTCCCTCCCAGAGGGGCTCCTGGCTGAGGACTGAGCCCATTCCTCTGCTCCCTGCAGATCGAGGAGGCCCTTGTGCGAAGGAAGAAAATGGAACTGCTCCAGAAGTATGCAAGTGAGACCTTGCAGGCCCAGAGTGAAGAAGCCAAAAGGCTCCTGGGCTACTAGACTCCTTGGAGTCTAGAAATCCAGTGGGCAGCCTGCCATGCCTGCAAGATCCATAGGCCACTCAACGTGGCCACTACAGTTGCAGACAGGCTGCTGGCACCTGGAGGCCCTGCTCCTTTCTCATCCTTCATCTCTCACGTTTCTTGGCCTCCAGGGCTGATCCGAGGGTAGGACTCTCTCTTCTGCCTCCCCTGGTAGGCTGTCTTCACCTTTGTACAGGTGATTTTTGACCAGTGAACCCATTTATTTTGGGCTGTATGAGCAGCCATATGAACTCATTTCTAAGTTGGCCTGTATGAGGTACCGTATGAACCCATTTCTTTTTATTTTGGCCTGTGTGAGCTACTGTATGAACCTATTTCTTTTTACTTTGGAGTGTGTAAAATAGATTGCCCTCTGCCCATTAAGTGTTTTGTTCTGGCATGTACTGTGATTTTGGAGAGAATCAAGTAGTGGCCAGCATTTTAAAAATGCAGCCAGGTCCAGCACATGCCTGTAATCCGGGAGGGCCTGAGGATCGCTGTAAGTTTGAGGCCAGCCTGGGCTACATGCTGAGTTCAAAGCCAGGCTGCACTACCTAGTGAGACTCTGTCTCAAAAAACCAAAAGCAAATAAAATATGTAATTTTCCTAGAAAGACACATCTTCTCTTTAGAACTAAGATGATGTGTCAGCCTTGAGCCCACTCCCTGGGGCCAGTAGCCTGAGCTCCCTGCTCTGCCAGGCACTGCCCTAGTTCTCTGCCAGCCCCCTTATTTGCCTGGGGGGCTGGAATTTTGACTTTGCAACTTCCGTGTTGTAACCTGTTCTGCAGAGATTCATTTTTATTAAATATGTTTTTAAGAAAAGGAAACTGCCATGCCTGTTCCCTGGGGTGACTACACTGAGGTGGCATAAGGTCACCCACAGGGAGGCTCCCGAGGCAGGCACAGGACACATCCTGAGCTCCACTGGGGAGTGGAGGGTGGAGCAGTGAGGCCCCCTTGGAATCCTGTGCTGGCCTGTGTGGTTGCCCATGATGGACATCCAGGAGTCTAGAGGTCAACGAGCTGGGTCCAGTAAGGACCAGTAAGGACCTCCTGCAGAGGCTCCAGGCCTGGGTAGTCCGGGACTTGGGCCTCTCTGTAGCGTTGTGGGAACATCTGGGTTCTCTGTGTCAGGGCCAGGTGGCTGTCCTTTGAGTGTGGGGCTCCGACTTGGGCTGTTGAGAAACAGGAGCTCCTAGCTTGAAGAAGTGCATCCCGAAGCAAGAGTGGGGTCTTCAGTGTCTGGAGAGGGTCGCCTGTGGGAGTGCCACCAACAGGGACTGAAGAGCTGTGTGTGGCTGCAGGTGGCTGTGTCGGGAGAGCTGTCCAGCCAGCTGGTGGTGTTGGCTCCCTCTCCAAGGAGGTGATGCTGTGGGAACTGTGGAAATATTCTGACAAAGGAGAGACCAGGTCTTTGGTGACTTGCTCTAGGAAGCTCCCTTCCTGAAGGGCTGACAGGGGGGCCCACCCCTGAGCTGAGGCTTGGGCAGATCTTCAGATGTGCAGAAGGAGGAGTCCAAGGTGGAGGTTGGTGGCAATCAGAGCCAGACAGGGTGGGTTCTGGGCCCCTCACCCAGCCTGTGGCTCCTTGGAGCTATAGGCTCATGAGGGAGCTTCTTGAGGGCTTTGAGCAAGTCCTGGGACCTAGCCTCATTTTCCCTGCTCTGAGGTTCAAGATTACACCTGGAGCTTTATGATTTTCCCTGAAGTCTGAGTGGTATTGGGGCATGGGCAGAGGCATCAGAGAGCCTGGGGACACCCTGATCTCTGTCCCAGCCTCTGGGGTGTGGGGTGTGGGTAGGTTTAGGGCATAGGGGATTTCAGGCCCAGTCATGAGCTTTTCTCCCAAGAGGTACCCACGGTAGTGATGCTTTCTCACACACACAGAAAGGCAGGAAATCTCCACATCACACATTGCTTATCCCTGGAAGAGGGCACACCCAGAGCAAGCCCATCCTAGAGGCTGAGGGCTCCAGGTTCCCCAGTGTCTCCCCTCAGGTCTCATCAGGGCCTCTTGGGTCCCACGTTGGGGAAAACAGGCTTGGAATGGAGTAGCATGGGGCTGGTGGTCTTATAGGTGTCCCTGGTGGTGGCCCAGTAAGGCCTGGAAGCAGAGGGAAGGTCTCAGCCGGCCTCCTGCCAGGCCTGAGGACAGCAGGGAAGCAGTCAGAGTGGGTGTGACCACGGGTGTGGATGTGGCTGGCTCAGCCCAGCTAACCATTTTTGGCAGCCTTAGTTTAGTTCACAAAATCTGATGACTTATGTTAGCTTTGGCTCTGTGTAGTTTCCGAAAGGCAACTTTTCCACAGACACGTTGCCATTGACTTCCTCCCCCTGGCCTCCTGCCCGTCCTCTGGTGAGGCTCTAGCACAGTCTCAGCCTGTTCTCCCAGTCCTCCTTCCCCTCCCCACCTGCCCCTGCACAGCAGGGAGCTGAAATCCATCCTCTTCCTCGCTTCTACCCAGCAGTGCCTGGAAGGGGACATGCTGTGGTCTTGTCCCCTGTGCACTGGACCACTTCCCTGCATCCTTGATGCTGGAGCAGACGGGTCCCTGGAGAGTCCAGGGGTGGTCCCTGCCCATGTGCCCGGCTGAGGGGTGCAGAAGGCTCTCTCTCAGGGCTGGCCTGGCCTGTGCTCTGTTCTCCCACCGGGTGCTTGTGGGCTACAGCTTGCTGGGGCCCTAAAGCTACTGCAGTCTCTCCAGCAACAAAGCCAGGGTGGGGGTGCTACTCGAGTTCCTCTGGTAGGCAGCTGCTCAGGCAGGGCCTTTGGCTCCATGAGGGAAGGGTTCTGGGAGCAGGGAGTACAGATTTGGAGGGGACAGAAGGACCTTGCATGTGGGCACGGGTTCCTGGGAGCTCTCCTTGAAGTGGACTGGGAAGCAGGACTGTGTGAGGTCACTTCGTCCAGGTAGATTTGGTTGAGTGGGGCCTATACCTGGACCAGGAAGAAAGCCAGGGCAGCCTTCTGGGACTGCTCGGGCCTGGCCTCGGGCTGGCAGAGGGGATGGGAGGGCACAGGGCATGGTGGAGTTGGATTAGAAGTGCTGAGAGGCAGGTGGCCTGCAAATCATGGGTCACGGTCTCCACTGTGAGATTACCACTATCAGAAGGCCGGGGGTGGGGTGGGGAAGTCATCTGTCCCTGTGTTTGTGACATTTCTGAATCCTGGAAGGGAAGGAAGAGCAGATGCCTGCTGCTGCTTTGGCTACCAGGTGTGCCAAGGGCCACTTCCGGCCTACACCAGCCCAGAGCACCTGGATCTCCATCGCTGTGGCAGAGTTCTGGATGTTTGCTGCTTTCAGTTTCCTGACATTTGGTAGCAGGCACTTTTCCATATTCAAGACCCAAAGTCTCGTGGTTGGTGTCTAGTCATCTTTTTGGTGACTTTTTACCCTACCCCCCTTTTTTCTGAGTTAGGGTCTCAGCTTCGTAGTTCAGGGTGCCCTCCAACTCATGATGATCCTCCTGAGTCCCAAGTGCCGAGATTATAGGCATGTGCCACCATACCTGGCTGTCCAGCTTTTTTTTTTTTTTTAAACTCAGGTCCTTTTTATTTTGAGATAGGGTTTTGCTAAGTTGGCCAGGCTGGGCTAGAGCTTGCCCT